GAAATCCGTTGCGCTGACCACGCGACACCCTCTGTCCACAAAAGTTGGCACTAACTTCGCCGACAAGCGGCGGTCGCTCGGTCGGTATAGTTCGCTTGTGGACTAAAGACCACGGAGGATTTTAAATCACCTCAATTCGAATTCTAAGTATGCTATACAAAATATTATTTTCCAATAATTTCTTAAATAAACAACCTGCACTGCCTACTTATTCCATATTAATTCATGCTTGATAATTCTTCTAATGTCACAATGACTGATGAGGAAAAGCTTACTCCAACACCATAACACTTATCCTATTTCCTTCATACCAGTTCATAAAGCATAAAAATTCTTTCGTCACCGTAATAACCAATACAGCATAAAGCTTGATCCGGTTTTTTAATGGCTGCGAGATAATTGTCACATAATTTATCTTGCATTAAAAAATATCAGTCTGTACTTATATCATACTTGATAAAGTTTGTATCAATCACTCACTCATGGAGCTGAGCCCTTCTTGAGAAGCCGCAAATTCTGCACCTACTCAAGAATTTCCCAGCAATTTATTGAACACGAAGGTTCATTACCGTGTTCACAAGAACCCTCCACTGGTCCCTATCCTGAGCAAGATCAATCCAATCCAAACCATCCCATCCATTTTAATATTGCCCACCCACCTATGTCTTGGTCTTCTCAGTGGTGTCTTTCCCTTCGGCTTTCTCACCAATATCCTATACCCATTCCTCTTCTCCCCATTCGTGCTACATACCCGACTGACCTCATCCTCCTTGACTTGATCATTCTAATTATACTTGGAGAATAGTAAAAGTTATGAAACTCCTCATTAAAGTTTGTATTAAGATTAAAAATAAAAGATGAAGCAAGAAACTGTTGATGTCTTATGTAAATAATCGTCTGGCTAATTTCTTCATCATTAATTGGTATGATTCCAGAAGGGTATGATTAACTCTCATAGAAGTCGATGTAAAAAACAGGAATGTTAATCGTGATAGCGCGAAGTTTCTTTCCTTGATATTTTAATGTACTTCCTTCGAACTGATATTGCCCAATTGTGCCGCTGAAACTGCTGCAACAGTGAAGCATTCCTGTTCAAGCTTACAGGATGATTTTTGAAGCTCTTCGATTTTGAGAAGTCGTATAGTATCGATGTGAAAATTCGTCCACTAATATGTAACTAAAAAAATTATTCCAGGCATGCGAATGCAATTTGTATACGCAATCTTCGAGCATTTAGACTGAATTACAGATAATCAATTGCTATATAACAAAAAACTAAATAATGTACCATAGACTACAGGTATTGTGACATGACATCTGAAAGCCAGATTAAGGGAGCCAGAATAAATCGTCCGTTGCGTGGTGAAGTCTGGGTAAACACGTTTCCGCGGCAACAGGGAGGCATGCAACAATAGAAGAACTGCTGGAAACGGTGTTTTCCATGCGGTCAGAACCGAGGCTATACAGCGAGGCCGGATGAGACGAGTTAGTCAGCCGCGATAAGTTATTTGAGGCCATGATTCAGCTGTGAGATGGTAGCCAGCAGGTAAGGAAGTAAACAGAGGAAAATGTTGGGATCCGTTACCAGGCAACGGCTAGTGAAGGCATAGAAAAACTAGTGTGCTGTAGTGAAAAGTACAGTCCTTGAATAAGTGTTTAATAAATCCAATTATGAATCCAAACCCCCGTGTACAGTCACTAAAACTTGACAGTACATATAAGACGCTACAGTCTCTGACTTAAGCGAAGAACATATACCAAGATAACTGAAAAGGGGCGCTAACGAGAGTATCTGAACTTAAAAGCGGGAAGTAACAGGAAGCTGGAGAATATTACATAACGAGAAGCTTTACGATTCTAATTTTTCGTCGTCTATTATGAGGGCGATGAAATTAAATGGATGAGTGCGGCTGGACACGTAGCATGCACAGAAGGAATGAGAAATATATACAATATATTTTTGAAAATCTTGAGGGGAAGATACATCTTGGGAGACCATGGCGTAGGTGGGAGAGTAATATTAAAATATAACTTAAAGAAATATAGTCATAGGTATGCGAAGAGGGTTAATTTAATACTTGCGAGCACGACAATCAATACTTTGGTTCAATAAAAATTGAGAGATGTCACAGCTTGCTTAGCAGCTATTAACTGCTCAAGAATGACTCTTTTCATAGAATTAGTGTTTTTCATTGGTAATCAACTTGTAAAAGATCAACTTCTTAATCACTAACAAAGCTAACGAACTCCGTGGCCTGTAGTCTGTAAGCGAACTATATCAACCGAGCGACCGCTGCTTCTCTGCGAAGTTAGTGTCAAATTTAGCTGATAGAGGGTGTCGCGTGGTCAGCGCAACGGATCCCCACTGCCATTCATCTCGGTTTTCTAGACCGGAGCCGCTATTTCCTTGAAAACAGCTCCTCAATTATCCTCGCGAGGCTGAGTGGACCCAGTTCCAGACCCACTACTTCTCAGAAAATCTGATAGCGCCGCGAATCGAACCCTGACTTCTGGAGCTGTTGCCAGGAACTCTGACCACTAGACCACAGAGGCGGCAATCATTACCGTCATCACACTTATATTCACTTGTTTGTTGCGTCACCATTGAAATTTCTTGGTATATCCATCCTATTACTTTGTCCCCACTTCTTTTATTTCCACCTGGGCCACAATAAAAAACCGTCTTTCGACTACGTGAGATTCCATTAAAGTATTAATGTAACCTGAAATTAGTCATACATACATAATATTATAATACCATAATCATAATTTCTGGTTTCATGATCTTGTGCTTAGTGAAAACTCTTCTTCATAATCAAGCGATCAGATTTCCGATATGGCAAAATCTGACGGCTGAACAGACAGAGTTGCGCTAAACTGAGCGCAAAGATTGTGTAACAGTAGACAAAGGAACTCACTTAGCGGCTTGCCATAGCCACATAGACTTCTTCGTCACAGACATTAATCTCGCAAGTAACAAGCAAGTTACTAAGAGAAAAATAACATATCCTTTCCTGGCGCCACACCCAGAGTTTATAGTCTTGCTAGTGAAATTGCTGTTTTTCATGTCTTAGATCGGACCTAATTCGCTCTTAAGCATTGGCAACGGTCTTCGTATCTGAGATAGAGTTCAACGTTGTTTTGCTTTAATAGCTCGATGTTGTTTTCGCTACGAATTCGGATGCATCATTTCTGAATTGATAATGGAATAATCTGTTGAAATACGAAATATAATATGAAGTTAATGGGAAAAAATATGTACGTTGTAAAGCTATCCTTGTAACAGGCCGTGAAGGCCCATAGGGTTGACGGTAGGACTTCTTGGAGGAGTGATCAGCCCGTCTCAAAGCCACTACCTACACACAGGGCAAAACAAACACAGAATAAACGCATACACAGATATCCATGCCTTGAGTGGGACTGGAACCCAAGATCCCAGGGTTCTAGCGAGAGAAGGCAGTTCACGCCTTAGACCGCGCGGCAACCGTGAACGGCCTAAAGGTCCATTACCACGTTCAAAACCACTAGCATTGAGTCCTTCTGTAAAATTCCATAATGTGTTGATATTTTGCGTAGAGGTGTTGCTAACTACCCGCCGAACTAGAAACTTCACTACCATTTCTTGTCCGCTGTCCGCGGCTCTTCGTTCAGTATACTCCCAGTTACTCTTCATATCTGGAGGCTACGGTCTCCAGTCGAAACCTGAAGAGAGGACATGCCATAGTAGCAATGTAAACGTATTTAATTCGGCATTAAATAAAATTATCGACAAAACTTAAATTTCATTAAATTAATTTCATCTTACGGAACTGAAGAGTGAAATGGAAATCTGCTTCAAATTAAATGCTATTAAACGACGAATATCAATATAGTAAGTCTTCTAACGTGTTAAACATTATTTCTTAAAAAGACGAAGAATTCTATTCTTCATGAACTTAATCAGTATTTTGTCTAGGGCAGGTTTTCTCATGGCACCTGTTTCTCATGCCAATTCCTATTCCGTATATTGCTCCATATTCATTAATTATCCTGTCATCACCGCTATATGGTCCTGATATTTACAGCGTCGTTAAATAACCAACTTAAAATGTACTTATGTTGGCAATATTTATTTTATTAAATCGATTTTAAATAAGTGCTTATAGACTATGATAGTCCAGTAGAAATACATCTGTCCTAAATCCAGAAAGGTATTCCAGTCAGTAATAATCCTACATTTTATTTTATTTACTTGCTTAATCCGTTCCTCTTATACCTTTACGGTGTCGAGGTTGTTCTTTTCCATTTTAATTATTTTACAGACGGTGGGACTCCTTGGACGAGTGATCAGCTCGTCGCAAGGCCTCTACCTAACCACAGGACAACACAAATACAGAATAAACACATACTCATAATAAACATCCATGCCTAGTGTGAGATTCGAACCCATTATCTCGGCTTCGGAGCATGCCTTAGACTGCTCAGCTACCGTAACCGGCCTATATTTTATCAGGACTGAAAATTTCCCTCCATTAAATTCCTTTATCTCAGATTTCCGAAAATCGAATAAGTGGGAAATTTACCCTGCCTTAAATAATATACAGTTATTTTTATCAAAGGTAAGCACATCAGTTTTCTGTTGCTATCTATCCATACCAGTGTGTAAGCATGGGGAGTACCGGGTATTATGTTCATAGCAAAAGGTAAAGTTATGTTCTACCTACTAACTTATCACCACTACATTAAGAGATGTGAGGAAGGGAGATATATTTCCAAGGAAGAATTCATGTAGATGAGCATAAAGACAAATTTTTAACCGAAATTAACGGATCGGACTTTCTAGACAGAGCAAGGCTGATCAAACAGTAACGCTTCTGGTTTGTAGATATAAGACAAGGCACCGGTTCGAAACTAGGTTTGGACACCGATTGTCCTGGCTGAGCTTCTTCGTGGTTCTCTTCAGTCCCTCCAAGAAAATTCTAAGAAAATACCTTAAATTAAACTATAATTTTTTTTTTCAGATCCTGACCAATTCGCTCTTCACTATTATCCAGCCATTAGACACTTATAACGTCGTTAAACATATAAAGGTAAAATTAACGAACCCTTAAAACTTTAACTTATGTACATACCAAAATTATATAGAGAAGACGACCATTAAGAATTATGTAAAGTCGGGTCAGCTTTGATACCAGCCCTCTGAGGATAGAAACTGAATAATATGTCGTCAGTACAAAATATGTAAGCTCTTTCTGGTCGTCATTTACCGAATTGTCCACTGAACTCGGCACAGCAGTGACAAAGGCAACTCTACACATGTGAAATATGGCAAAGTAGTCCTACAGCAGAAAGACTTGATGTACATGTCTTGGACTACTACATCACTTTAGTGCAGAAAAAGGTGAGAAGCGAAAAGAAAAACGGCGATATTATGCGTGTTGAAAGAAGAAGTTAATAAGTAAGTTTCATTTGAGACACATGTGAGCCATTCCTCATGTGCGCCAATTCACTTTCGCCTTGTCGTTGGTGGCTGTCAATGCCAAGGAGCAAATAAACATTTAACGAACTTCAGCTTATTTGCTGTTTTCTTTCTGACCAATGGAAGAATCTAATTTGCAGTTCATCGAACTCTACAACCATGTACGGACGAGTCAAAAGTAATCAATTCAGAATCAACTTAACCGTCACTGCTCTGCTATTCGCGACGTTTCTCTGCAGTGGAAATTATTTTGGAGTAAATGTTTTGTAATATTCTTTATTATTCTCTCTCGGTTTCAAGTCAACAAGACATGTCCTGAATTTAATAATAGAAAATGCAACTACTGTTTAGGAATTGAGTATCGCCATCTTTAGACGAGGCACGCATGCGCTGTTCATGACAATTGCCGATCAATGCGCGGTTTGTTTTGATGACAAGAATATTTTTATTTTTGTTTCTTCGTCATTTTTTTTTGTTTCGTTTAATTCCATTCGTCTGTAAAGCAGAAACTAGAAGTCAAGGCACGTAGCTTTTCTTTCTCTGTTTCTTCTCTGTCAATCTCGGTATATGCACAGATGTTTGTGTGAACTCTGTGCAAAGGAAGAGGGAAATAAATGAAAGAATAGAACGCGTGTGGTCCTATGATCAACTACATTATAAACAATATCGAAGAAATACTTAAATCAACCTTACGGGTAGATGGAAACCCCTTTTACATATAATTAAAACATACAAGAAAAATATACTGTGCTAATTAACAAGGCGTAAAGGTGACAGCATGTACGTAATATAAACAAGATATCATGAGTAAATAATATAATTGTAATATACGGTGTTTGTTCTGAATTCTACTAAAATTGTTTATATTAGAATAAATTCTCTTCGAAATTCGTTTTGATTAGGATATGGACGTAAAAAAGGGTTTTATTCTACATTATTTTCTAACTAAATTGTTATATAAATGACATATTAAAATATGAGTGTCTCACCGGCTTCATGCATCATTTTTTTTTCTCTCTAAAGATGTATCCGCTATGTAGGAGAGTAGTATTCGGTTTATACCCCAGTTCGTGACTAGACAGTGGATGATTTGTAACCGAAGATGAAGTAATTGCAAGATAAAACATTTCTTCTATGAATTTCATATTGAGAAACAGAGCTCATGGGGTTAGAAGTGCGTGACTTGGGGTTTTGATTTCAACAGCCGAATGCATAATGCCGCTAAGTAATTTTGTAATATATGTTCCAAATATGAGCTAATGGCAGATTGTTAAGGAAGATGAATTGCGCTTAGGAATACCATACGTGGAACCGGGTATAACATATTTCAGAAGATAGACGCGGAGTAATACAGAGTAAGGCTTATGTATCATTCAAGGCGGAATCCTCTTCTGACAGATTCGCTCGGATGCAAGTCGGCATACATGAATAAGTTACGTGTATAGAAACTCCATATATTTATCGAAATATAATTTTAAAACACAGGCTTCAGTATAAACACTTTAGTTCCTCGTTATGCCAATATATTGTCACGTGTGTGTGTGGGGGGGGGTATGCGTGACGAAAATGACGGGTTCTAGTTCGGATGATAGGATTTATTGGCACTTCTGTTACAATCTCTCTTAATTACAGTCAAATACAGAGCTATCGCATATTTACACACACACACACACACACACACACACTGGTCCTCTCTACCACATCTAAAACGCACGAACTATAACAGTCTCACTTAATCACACACTCCAAATATTACACGTGAATGAAGCCTTCTAATTGCACACCAAGTCCTCACAGGTCGACGAACTTTCAGTGGCTATCATCTACCGGAACTTATAACTGAATAGTAGCGCCGATTGTTTTTAAGATAACTTCTTTGCACGGACCCCACGAAAAACAGCCTCTATTGCTGAAACATGCTTACCGAACCATTGCATATCAACGGTTGCGGCAGGGATCACCATTGAAAACAATCTCTCTATTGTTGAGGTTTGTTTACAGAGCCGTTTCTTAGCAACGCTCTGGACACCCACATTACAATATTAATAAATTTCTTCTTCTTCACCGAGCATTACAATCCACGATGAACTTGACTTCTTTTACGACTGCTCGCCAATGGTCCCGATCCTGTAATTTTCGTCTCCATTTAGGTGTTCGGTCCGGCTGCAATTTCTAAAAGCTTCTCAAGAATTAAGAATTTTTGCGGAGTGGGGTTTTAACCCTACGCCCAACCCCCAGAGAGCAGGACTAGCGTATCCCTTTTCATCTGGATCATCACTTTTGGCCTGTCCGGCATGGGGGAACCTACCAATAGCTACGCTACCGCCGGCATAGCTCTCACTACTAGGTATTAACAAATTTATTTATCGATTTCTAAATGACACAACTTTACCCGTGTAAATTAGTCGGCCTCTCAGTTGTATAAGAAGACGCCGCATTTGTAATTCTGTACCTCGTGGCGCGACTATCGAGTTGCTACGGAGTATCAGACTTGTGGGGGCACGCGGTTGAGGCACTATGCTACAAGCAGAAAGGTTGCGGGTTCGAGTCCCGATGAGGTCATTGTACTTTTCAATTTAACTGATCATTCCAGCCGCATTATGGCCCAGGCGTAATCTCAGCCTCTAACAGAAATGAGTACCAGGAATCTTCCTGGGGAGTAAAGCGCGGCCGGCGCATAAGGCTGACAAAATTACCGCCATCTGTGAGCCGATTATCTAGATAATGTGAGACCCTCAACGTCTCACAACCCTAAGTGCCTTCAAGGCCTGTTACAGCGAAAACTTTACCCTTATCAGACTTATAACAGGCAAAAAGTATAGAGAGAAAAACGGTGTTATATTTTACATTACTGCTTCGTATTCCGGAGATCTGAGTTTGGATCTTGACTAGGAGACCAGTTATCCTAATACAGATTTTTGTCTTGAATTCATCCAGTCCCTCCGAACATATCCCAGGGTAGTGCTACTCGTACCAAGTGAACATTGGATGCGGTCTCTCACGTCATTCCTACCTCATGATTCGCATTTTTCACTACATGCGCTATGCGGTGGAACACCACACCAAGTTCACTAAGAGGAATAACAATTAATAAGTATGCCGCTCAGAATGTTATGTACATGTTGCTATGGAATTCGATACAGCCAGTTTCATTCACATCCAGAAGAAAAGATATGGCAATAGAAATCCACTCTGCTGCTCTCTCGTTGAGATTTATTGAACTGGTGCAGAAGCTCGCTGGGATATTTCTCCGTTGTTGATGGCGGCTTCTTATTGGTTGGTCATGCGTCACTCTTGATGTAAAGGTCAATGTACCCTCAGTTTTAATGAACTTTGCTACAGAGAACCCAATCATTGTTTTTTTTAGAACTAAGGTTTTTTTCACGAGCTTCTTCTGTGTATTTAATCGTACAAAATTCCATCTATTTCTTTATCGTTTCGTCACATGTAATAATGATAATTGTTACTATTATTATGAATATAATTCAAACATATGCTATTCAAAAAGCAGGTTTGAAACATACGACATGAGAACATAAAATGTAGGTTGTATGCTATAAAGAAGGTTGCACCCTACTCTACCCATAAATTAAAAAAAAAAATGGGGTGTCTGACATGCGCTGATGCTCTCTCTCTCTCTCTTCCTTTCGATTAAAATGTTGTTGTTTGATAAATCTCGGAATTTGGCCCCATGGACAAGCAAGCTCGGAATGTGCGGGGAAAACGACATGGGGGTTACATTACGATTAAATCTGTTAGTAGGCTGTCACAAGAAACATTAAATTCCTTATTTCGTGTTCAATACTGCTGCACGTTTCTGGGATATATTAAAAAGTTCACTCAGTGGACAAAATCTGGAATCTTTTAGTGCAACAATGTCCTGTTATCTTATTTCTATCACTGGCTCTACAGCCCTCTTGGGCCCTCGCCTCTAAGTTTTCAGTTTCATTGTCATTTTACAGACGGTACGACTCCCTGGATGAGTTATCAGCTCGTCGCAAGGCCTCTACCTAAACACAGGACAACACAAACACAGAATAGACAAATACACATATCAAACATCCATGCCTTTTGTGGGATTCGAACCCACAAACCCGGCTTCAGAGCGAGCGAAGACAGTACATGCCTTAGACCGCTCGGCTACCGTGACCGGCAATTATCTTATTTAGCGACAGGAAAATATATGTACTGATAGCGTCCATTTTGATGATTTCCTATTTATATTAAACTAAAATACGTCGTACAAATGATGTCACCACCAGAGTGCACCTAATTTTGTTTCTTCTTCTTCTTATTATTATTATTATTCTAGTGTATAGGCCATTGCCCTGTTTCAGGCTTCAAGAGAATGTGTCCTCCCATCTAGCTGTAGGGCGCCGGATTATTCGGTGTCCTCTGAATTTCTTTATTTATGCTCATGAATTACTATTAAAATCAAAACACTTTTCTGTCATAAATGGCCATCTAAGGGCGGATACCAGACAGCAAAGGAAACTTAACAATTCATGTGTATGAATAAACAATTTAAAATGCCCAAATCATAAAATTTTCATAAAAATTTGAAACTAATATTTCACGAGAATTCACTTATGCCAACCGTTTTTAAAAGCAGCTTCCTTGAT